GGTGAGAGGTGGAGGTGTGGAGGTAGTGAGAGGCAGAGGTGTGGAGGGGTGGAGGTGTAGAGGGGTGGAGATTTGGAGAGGTGGAGGTGTGGAGATTTGGAGAGGTGGAGGGGTGGAGATTTGGAGAGGTGGAGGGGTGGAGGTGGTCAGAGGTGGAGGTGTGGAGAGGTGGAGGTGTGGAGAGGTGGAGGGATGGAGGTGTTGTGTGTCTCTGTAGCTCCTCACCTGTCCTGGTTGTGTCTCAGGTGTGAACTCCTTCCTGTTCTTCATGACCTACAAAGACAAATACCAGAGCTCAGACTCTCAGGTGAGCTGCAGTGACATCATCAGTGTATGTTTGTTTGTTTGTGTGTTTGTTTGTTTTACTGAGATCAGTCAGAGTTAGTTTGTGTCAGTGTTTCCTCGTCATTAAATTTCATCTGCTTCCTGTTTTTGTGGTTTCAGCTCTACGAGGCGTTCGGGGTCCTTCGGGATCTCGGAGCCATCGCACAGGTCCACGCTGAGAATGGTGACATCATCGATGAGGTAACACGCCCTGACTCAGTAACAGTTACAGAGTATAGTAACAGTAAAGCAACAGAAACAATACAGTAACAGTAACAGAGTACAGTAACGCTAACAGTACAGTAACAGAGTACAGTAACGCTAACAGAGTACAGTAACAGTTACAGAGTATAGTAACAGAGTAAAGCAACAGAAACAGAATACAGTAACAGTAACAGAGTACAGTAACGCTAACAGAGTACAGTAACAGTTACAGAGTATAGTAACAGAGTACAGTAACAGAAACAGAGTACAATAACAGTAACAGAGTACAGTAACGCTAACAGTAACAGAGTACAGTAACAGTTACAGAGTATAGTAACAGTACAGTAACAGAAACAGAGTACAATAACAGTAACAGAATACAGTAACGCTAACAGTACAGTAACAGAGTATAGTAACAGAGTAAAGTAACAGAAACAGAGTACAATAACAGTAACAGAGTACAGTAACAGCTACAGAGTACAGTAACAGTTACAGAGTATAGTAACAGAGTACAGTAACAGCTACAGAGTACAGTAACAGAGTAAAGTAACAGAAACAAAGTACAGTAACAGTAACAGAGTACAGTGACGCTAACAGAGTACAGTAACAGTTACAGAGTATAGTAACAGAGTAAAGCAACAGAAACAGAATACAGTAACAGTAACAGAGTACAGTAATGCTAACAGTACAGTAACAGAGTACAGTAACGCTAACAGAGTACAGTAACAGTTACAGAGTATAGTAACAGAGTACAGTAACAGAAACAGAGTACAATAACAGTAACAGAGTACAGTAACGCTAACAGTAACAGAGTACAGTAACAGTTACAGAGTATAGTAACAGTACAGTAACAGAAACAGAGTACAATAACAGTAA